CCACCCAGGCGCCCCTCAAAAGAGCCAGTCTTGGTCATAAGGAAAAGTGACCTTGGAGCTGGAAACTAATGTTTTCGCTTTCTCCCCTGGGCAGCTACAGGGAAATGTTTTCCCTCTTATTGATCGTCACTTAGTGTATGGAGAAGCACCTAGTCTCTCCAGTCAGAAAAACCTGGGTCTCTCTTTGCCTGCCAGTTTGTTAACATGTATGATTCTTGGGCAAGTTGTTTATTTTTCTCTAAGCCTTTATTTCCTCATTGGCGATTAAGGGATTTCAACAGCTCCTTATTGGATTACTTGAGCATGAAATATTACAATGAAGGATTTAGGACAATATTCAATACCTAGAATATAAGCAAAAAAAAAATGTGGGTTGCCTTCACTTCATATTTTTCTTGCTCTTCAGGGCTGCCAGTTTTCTTATGTGAAAAGGAAGTTGTGTTTTGTATTTATTCCTTTGGCAATTATCTGAAGTGCCTTCTGGACTAGATGCTGGGAGCACAGTGTTAAGACAAGGAGCCCACAGTTTAGGAGACAAGAAATTAGGTTAGTAATATGTATTGGTGCCATGAGGCAAGACTTCTTGGGGAATCAAGAAGAAAGCGATCACTTTTCCTGGAAGTGGTTTGAGGATTAAAAAGCTTCCTAGAGAACTGAGTATCTACCTGTCAGGTGGACAGTAGGGAAAGGGTGTGGACACAGAGAGCAATGGAGAACAGCCCGGAAGCCTGGAATGGGAAGTGAGTCAGGATGGTCAGTTTCCTGTGTTGTGTGTTGGGAGGAGTGAGTGGTGGCCACCACAGGGATGAGTCTGCGAGGTAAGGTAGGAACCAGGCCCGAAAGGCCTGCTGTGCCAGAATAGATTGATTTGTATTCTTGCCGTGGTCTATTGAAGTAGAGTATTGAGATATGCCTTATTTTAGAGGGTCCACATTCCTACATATGTGCAGTGAGATTTCATAAAATGAACCACATCTTACCTTTTTGATTTCCATTATAAAGGTGAAAATATATACCTTATGACTTCCATAAGTGAGGGAAGAAAAGAACACACTTTAGAAACCTACCCCGCATCCCCTAAGCACATGGGTAGCCCGCAAGAGAGCTGCTGTGTCCGTAGCATTTCATTCACAAGCATCCAAAGGGAGGCACAACTCCTAACGTCTTAGGCAGAAAATCACACTATTCTATTTGAGAAGGAGGGGAAAAGGCACGGTAAGGGAAGGAGGATTTTTTTTTTTCCTTTTTAGTCAAAAGAGAGAGAAAGCTAAAAGAGTATTATCAAGGTCATAACTCTAATATTTTATTTCTATAATCAAACCAGTTTACAGCTGAGGCTTCCCTATCCAATCAGAATTTGAGTGTGACAAATTTTTTCATTTCCAAAAAGTTCATTGTCCTTCCTCAATTCTCTTATGCAAAACGTGTCTATCGGTGTGGGCATTGACCCCATGACTCCCACCCTTTAGAGTTTAAATAGATGACTCACCTGGGATTTATCTGTGGATTGTTTACATTGCTTTGGGAAAGTGGCAGCTCCAGCCAAGCTAGAGCTGAGACTGTCTGAATTATCTGAAATACTGCATGGCTATAATAATCTATCTCCCTAAACTAAAAAATGGTATAAAACTCTTTGGGATCAGATATACTCCAAGTCTGGAATATACAGACAAAACCTGGAGAGAAATAGGCCAAAATGGAAGTTGTTGGGTTAAAGTGGAAAACTACATAAGGATTTTCTCTATGAGAACAAATGCTTAAAAGGATCTTTAAGAATGTTGGATGATGTGGTGTTTCACAACACTTAGCAGTCATGAAAGTCTTTTGCATATACTTTAATTCTGAAAGCAATTTTTTGAATAGCTCAATTTTCTATTATGGGTTATTATTGGCTGTTAACAGATGAAATTAAAATTCAAATACCTTTTAAATTCTCAAAATTTGCATTTCTACCAGAAGGGTTACTTTAGCCAACAATTTTATCTATTAGCATTGCATATCAAGGCCAAAGTCATAAGTGAGCTATGCAAATTATCTGCACCAAAACTCCCATATACTTTGTACATCTCTTTATGTTTATATTTCACTCTGTATTTTAACCACTTGCTTATTCTTCACTCTGTTTTGGTTATTTTTGTATACCTGAGGGCTGGGTCTCTATCTTCTTGTCTTTATGTCTTCGTTGGGCTTAATGGCATGTCTTGACACAGTCGACCACTTCAAAAGTTTCATGAATCATGAATAGTCATAGTCAGGAAATGGCAGAGTTCAAATATCTTTAGCCACTTTCCAGAGACTTCCACCTTGAGACATGGGCCAAATATCTTCCCTTTGCTCTTCCCTGTTTACTCTCCACCCTTCTCTCCATACTGCTCTCTGCCCTGGGAGATCGACTTCTGTGGGTTCAGCTGAAGGGGAGCCTGGGAGAAGTTGGAGGGGCTCACTGGCCTTCTCAAAGCAGTTTTCCCTGTTTGACACTTCATACAGGTTCTGGCAACTGCTACCTCCCCTACATGCTGGCCAAGGAAGGCAATGGCCCCCCATTTTTGTGGCCCAAAGGTCTCCCCTACCCATTATGACATATCCCCGATACCCTGTGTTCTGCCCATATCTTTATTACTAGTTCCTTCATTAAATCCTCCTTGACTATCTTAATTTGAGCGAACCATTCCTCTCCTGCTGAGACTTTGACTGATAAAAGACAGTTTGTATTATTGCAAAAAGTATTTACCATTCTTGACCAGTACAATGTTTGCTTTCTAAAAACCATCTCTATAGCCTCTGTAAGTCTAAATTCCTCCTTCATTTTTAGTCTCTCAGTGTGTAAAACCTCTTCCATACCACCGCATCCTTATCTGCCTCTCACCTCAGCCAAATTAAGATCACAGTCAAAGAAAGATCACACATCTTTCTTCCAGGGCTCTGCTCGTCACCCCTAGCTGTTCTTGCATGACTTCCCTGCTCTTGGAACTTTGAGACTACCTTTCTTAGAAGTAGCTTTATGTGTATGGCTAAAGAGAGCATGAATATTATGTTTTCAGTGGGTATTGGGGGGTGGAGGTGGAGGTGGGGGGAGGAAACACAGCTAAACAAAGCTAAATGATGTTTACTACAGAACTTCTCAATCTTCGATGTGCATTGTAACCCTCTGAGAGAGCAGTGTGGTAAGCAGCATTTCTCAAACTCATTTGATCAATGAACACTTGTTATCTAAGGGATCCTTGTTACCTACTTAGTACTTGCTGGCAATCCTCAGTTCACAGTTTGGAAAACTTGGCTCTAGGGGGATACTTCTACTTCATCCTCTCTACCTCCATAAATATGTATTGAATAAATGAACAAATATTGACAAAATTGGTCAAAGCTCTAAGAGGAAGGAAGTGGAAGACAGCGTTCTACAACCATTTTTCTTTTTTTTAAGATCTTATTTATTGATTTGAGAAAGAGAGTGAGGGGGGAGAGAGAGAGTGCACAAGCCGGGGGTAGGGACAGAGGGAGAAGCAAACTCCCCACTGAGCAGGGAGCCCTACACAGGAGCGGGGTGACTCAACCCTAAGACTTGATCCTGGGACTCTGGGATTGATTCCAGGACCCTGGGATGATGACTGGAGCCAAAAGCAGACGCTTAAGCGACTGAGCCACCCAGGCGCCATGACAACCCCTTCCTTTTAATCCCGTGATGTCTGCTGTGTCAGGATCTTCTAAGATGGTGTGAGCTGGGAGGTGGCCAGCACTTCCTGCAAGATCTAGTTTAAGGTACTGATTGATGGTACCTGGCTACCGATTCAGAGGTCTTCTTCAAGCCTTTAAGCCTAGATTAACTGCAGATGCAGTTTCTCCTCTGGGCTTTCTGCTTTCATCCTGAACTAGCAAGGGGTGGAAAAAGGAGTGGACAAGAAGGACTAGGATTTATCAGGTACTTGCAATGTGCCAGCTACTATATTTGGGTTATCTCCTTTCCTGGAGAAGCGCACAGTCTAGGAAGCTCACAGGAAGGAAAAGATGTAAAAATAAGTATAATGAATGCAGTCTAACATAATATAACGCAAAACATAGCATAAGGCTGTATGAATGAAGAGCTTGCACCCTGGTTTCTTTAACATCGCCTCATGATTCCACTATGTCAGCATCCATAAATATTGGCATTTGACTCCCTATTTTATTGTGGGATAAGCTTGAGGCCAGACTGAGATAGCGTCCACCTATTCTCATGTCTTATGTAGAAAAATGTGCAGATTTTTGTAAGTAGACATAGTGGACTGGATGTTACTAAGAGGGTGGGGGGGGGGATGAGCAGATTAGTTCGAGAAATCTTTTTAGCCAATACTTCACATCCCTTCCTCTAGTGATGAGCAAATACAAATACTGGCTAATTTGATTTTAGGATCTTCTTCCTTTGCCTCTGCATTTTATTAGACGAAATGGATTTAGAAAATTAGGCAGCATGTTCAAGGAAGATGGAGTAGATGTATTTTTTCCTATTCCTCTTGTTAA